AAAAAATGAACAGGTCCTCTAATTATGGGGAATAATAAAAAAGCTTCCTTCCTTTCTTTCTTTTCTCTTTCTTTCTTTCTTTCTTTCTTTTCTTTTCTCTTCTCTTTTCTCTTTTCTTTTCTTTTCTTTTCTTTTTTTTTCTTTCCTTTTCTTCTCCAGCTCCTAGCGCAATGTAGTGGGACTCAGGAATCACTCTAAATAAGTGAAAGGTGTGAATCAATTCTGTGGCTATCTAATTTCTCTAATGTTCTGTGAAGCTTGCATACACGTTTCTCTTAATTTTGAAAATTCATTAAAATGTTTTTGCCTATCTTCCCCCCTAGACTGCATTTGTCCCCAACACTTTTCCATCCCCGATATCTAGCACAGTGCATGCTTAAGTAGTTTTTAAAAAAAGAAAAGAAAAAGAAATTTCTTAACTACTTCCCTCTTATAATCTTTCTTCCCCAGAGTCTTCAAACCATATTATATCTCCTAGTCGCCTTCCTCCCACCTAGCATCTCCGTCAGGCTTAGCAACACCTAGCTCATGACCTTTTAGCTCCTCTATCTGGAGTGTAAGAATAATTTGTTTTCAATATTGCGGAAAGTGCAGTGAACATGTGCTGAAGTTCGGTTGTCTAGGTTGAAAACCCAGCTACATGTCGTATCAGTTATAGGCGTTGGTCTAGTTATTTAACCCCTAAGCCTTAATTTTTCATCATAATAGCTTTCTTGCAAGTCTTAAGAGCACAAGGAAAATTTCCAACTGTAGGAAGAACTCAATAATTATTATCTAGCACGATGATTGAGGTGAAAGCAAGTTGGAGTTTACATAATGTGCACTGTAAGTTGCCAAAGTCTCAAACTGTGACTTGCTGTTGGTAAGGGACCACAGATAATGACACAGATTTCTCAGATTAAAAAAAAATAGTCACAATTGCCTGTATGAGCCTTTCCTAATCATATAATTAAATCAGCCTCTTGTAAACTTCTTATCTTCATTTTAGAAAATAAAGGAGCAGGTTGATTGGCATTGTGATTTGGTCTGGATATCATGTTGTAAATGGTGGATACTTCTGGACATACTAGTTTGAGAAGCCTGTGAGACACTCGGGTGAAGCCAACCAGAAGATAGTTGGATATGCCCACTTAGGGTGGAGGGGTGAGATCTGGGTAAAAGCTCTGGATTTTAGAGTCATTAGCATACAGCATAGGTGCTCCAGGGAGAGCCTGCAGTGTGTGAGAAACAAAGAGCAGATAACGGACTTCCGTCTCTTTGTTCTGTTCTGGTTTCAAGGTTTAATTCTCTATTTGGAGACACAGGAAGGAAGGAAGGTTGACCTATGTGTCTAGCAATATGAGAAATGATTCTGAAAAGACAGAATATACTATATAGCTCTCTATGCCCCTGCAAAGTAAGTCTCCACCCTTTTCCAGCCTAATGTATATGCTCTGGGAAGCTGCACCAACAAGGCTCCTATGCCCTCTGGATTGCATTTGAATTTGGCTAAGGGGAACCCTAGCAGGAAATTGGAGAATGATGAAGAGAATGAAATTGGGGCATTCGTTCTCCTTCCATCCCTAGGAAGTTCCTTGGAACTGGCTCGATCCCTAAATGAAGGTCATAGTTCTAAATGACCAACCTCAGGACTAAAGATACACAATCTTGGGTGCTACTGGCCCTTGATCAATTCACTGTCCCTGGAGTTTCCCTATACCTTTAAATAGTCCCTTTGGAGATAAAACCTTGCCAAATTTTCCTATTTTTAAAGTATCACTACATGTTATATAAGCTGATGAATTAAATAAATCTGATCAAAGCTGAAAAGTCAGAATACTTTTTCTGATTGTTTTGATTCTTATTTCCCCTGTGAAAGTTTCTTAATTATATTTGTTTAGTCACCAAGCATTTTAAAGGAGTTATCAAACATATTATTGCTTTGGCCTTAATTACTTTAAAGAAAATCTGTTTCTTTTAATTCTAATCATAACAGCTGATCATTCTCAATCATCAAGAAATGAGATATACAAGACATTTAGTATTAATTTCTAGTATGTTCTGTCATACAGAACATCATCATTATATGTCAGTATATATATAGTATATATGTCAGACATCATCATTATATAGTCCCTGAGTGTCCACATGGAAAAAATAATTTTTAATTTTTTTTCCATGTGGAAAAAAATTAAGCAATGATGGAAGCTTCTCGGGTGGAAAGCAATGAGATCAACATGAATGAGCATATACCATATCAATCAGTGTTGTCCAATAGAAGTATAATTTGATTCACATGAGAAATTTTGAATTTCCTAGCAGGTGAAAACTATTTCTATTTATACGAAAATATCCAAATCTGTCCAAAATATTGTCTATGTACAATGACCATAAAAATATTAGTGTGATATTTTAAATCCTTATGACCATGCTAATTCTTCAAAATCTGGTGTGTATTTTACACTTACGACATCTCTCAATTCAGACTAGCTTCATTCCAAGTTCTCAAAAGCACATGTGGCTAGTAGCAGTCATATGGGAGAGAGTGAAGTTATGGCCTCAGCTGTTCCCCCTTATCCACTGTTACACTTCCAACTGTTCAGTCACTGCAGGGGGAGCAGGTGACCCCCCTGAGGTATCAGCAGAAGGTCAATAGTAGGCACCATGTCTACACCATTCCCCTCACTTCCTTTCATCATACGGGTATGTCATTGTCTCACATCATCATGAGAAGGGTGAGTACATGCACTAAGATATTTTGAGAGAGGCTGTATTCACATAACTTTTATTACAGTATATTGTTAAAATTGATCTATTGTACTAGTAGTTGTTGCTAATCTATTACTGTGCCTAATTTATAAACCAAATTTTATCATAGGTATGTATGTGTAGGAAAATCTTAGTATATATATAGGGTTCTCTACTATCCATAGTCTCAGGCATCCACTGAGGGGCCTTGAAACATATCCCCTGCAGATAATGGGAGGCTACTGTACAAAATGGAGGCAAGCAAACAAATGGGTTGTATCAAAGAGTTACAGAGTATATACTGTGTGTAGAATACACCACTAGATCTTGGAAGGTCAATGCAAAATGTAAAGGGAAAACTGATTATGAATCTCTAATGGTAGAAATAGTGCAAGTTTTAAACTTCCTTTATGATTCATACTTGAATTTAATTTCTGTAGAAATTCCCTTTCTGACTGAGGAAAAATTTAATCTCCTTCTCTTTGGAAATGTGTTGGGCAGAGAGCAGGGAAGCTTGGAGGGTTGAGGCATCTGGCCCTCTGTTGACATCTGCTCGTGCTGCCATCTGCCTGTACCTTGATTTTTCGGGCCCTTAGTGCTCATGTGTGTCTCTCATTTCAAGTTCTCATTCATATCTAATTCTGTTCTCTTAAGTACCCAGGAAATACTCTATGCTTCCCATCTGAAGTGAGAGAAACCCATCTGTTATGTCCCACCCTGTAGAGGTCATGGGAACCTGTGAGACCACCTTAGAGTCCTTGGCCTAGACACACCATGTGGCCATTTCTTCTGGTTCTGAACCCTAATAGGTTTAGGGGTATCTAGGCTTTTACTCATTCTGGGACATTGCCCTAGAGGTAGGATGAAGGGCAGGGAAGGCAGGGTACCCTGACTTCGCACTCATCTATGGATCTTGACTCTGAATTGTGGCATATTCTTCCAACACTTGCAAATAATGACTGATCCTTGGACTTCGCTTTTGAAACTTCAAAGTCCAGAACTTGACTCTTATAATCAGTACTTTTTATTATGACATCCTTCTCTCTGAGGCAATAAGCATGAAGTTTTCCATCTGCAGTTTGCATGGAGAAAGTGTCATGGAGTAGCAGGAAATATTATTTTTACAGGAACATTTTCATTATATTAGTTTATAGCTTATTTTAGGATGTTTTATTGGATTTTTTCTTATTTCGAGGTGTCAGTCTGAATAATAGATCCTTTAAGGAGTGTTTCATTCCACT